GTTATCAATCACAAATTGCGATTGTTATTTTGGTTCTGTTCTCACTAATCAGTTCACGACTATTGTTACCAATCAGTTCATTTGATTAATAATCAGCTCTCCTGTTATTATTAATCTGTTCATACTGTTCAGCTGTAAACTGGTTGGTTCATGGATCTTTTCAGCATTTTTTCCCTCCCCGTTGAAGTTTCTGGGGCGTTCATGCATTCAGAACACATAGTTACACAAAATGTGTCTGTGCATGGCACACATAATTATGCAATGCGTAATTACGCACATGGGGAGCTGAGTGACAAGACGTTTTTTGGGCAAGCTTCTGCTTCATACAGTGTTCGAATGGCCCCAGTGAGGCGAGGACAACATCCGCTTCACCCTTAACCCATCAGCGACAGCCTTAAAGGGCGAAGCCTATACGAAATAGAACGTTGGTTACGTACTGTAACCCCAGCTTCTATGAGTATAGGCGTAGCCCTTTAAGCGTCGGGCCTCACTGGCTCCTAAATGGCTGAAGAAAAAGCTATTTTGGGAGCCGATTTCCCGCTCTTAACGTAATTTATACGGACCGGGTGGGGCTCACACAGCAGATGGGCGTGGACTAAATTTTTTCAGTGCAATGCTTCGCATATCGGGATAAACCCATCAGCGACAGCCTTAAAGGGCTACGCTTATACTCATAGAATCTGGGGTTACAGTACATAACCAACGTTTTTCATGGTTCGATTATGGGGGCTAATTGTCACACTGTTAACTCCTGTAATTACACATCAGTCATAAAAAACTCAAGAAAATGTCGGATAATAATATTACTGCTGTCAGGGATTCAGCCCAACCCTGGACCCTCCACTAATTACAGCACATCAAATGACTTTAAAAACATGTCAGGACTTCATTTTCTGCATCTAAAAGCTCGTAGCCTTCTGAGAAAAATTGATGCCTTAAAAATTCTTGTCAGTTCTTCTGGAGCGGATGTAATCTTCATCTCTGAAACCTGGCTCAACAAATCTGTACTGAATAATGACCTGGTAATCAATGGATTTAACATGTACTGCTGTGATCGTCAAAAAAGTGGGGGTGGAGTCATTATTTACATCAGAGATTCTCTGATTTCTAGTCTTGTATCTGCTAAAACAATTCCAAACCAGTCTGAGGCCTTAGCTGTAAACATCACTTTGAATGGAGGCCAGATTTTATCTGTAGTCGGTTGTTATTGTCCCCCTTCAGCAACACCTGAGGCTCTGTCCTCCCTGATGGAATTACTTGGAAATTTAAAATTCAAAGAGATTTTTTTTTTTGGCAGGAGATTTCAACATTGACTGGGATAAGTCGACCCCACTCTGTGATAAATTCAAGGAATGTTACCTGTCACTCAATCTAACCCAACTGATCAACTCTCCCACTAGACCAAACAAAAACTGTCCTGAAAAATCCTCCATCTTAGACCTGTTTCTAACAAATATGCCTCACAAATTCCCTGGTACCGGTGTATTCGCCAATATTTTGAGTGATCATTGTGTGACAGCGACTCTGAGAGATATTAAACTTCCACCTTCTAAGGCCAGAATAATTCAAAAAAGAGATTTGAAACGTTTTTCTAAACAGTCATTCCTCTGGGATCTGTCTCACTTTGACTGGGATCGTATTCCCTTCACTGACGATGTGAAAATCCGAGCTGCTCTATTCACATACAACCTGTTGTTTCTCTGAAATTGTCATTTAATCAAGTGTTTACAAATGTAGGTAAACGTAGATGTTTAACAACTGTTAAAATTTGCCAAAATATAGGAAATGGCATCTACTTTATTCAAAAATTTAAAGGGGAAGAGGACCTACAAGACCCCCTCCACTCCCTCCACGCACCCCCTCCCCCCACCGGCCAGCCCACAATCTGCGTTCTGGCATCGCTCAGTTTACAGATGAAGCCCTGCCGCCATGTAAACATACTAGAACTTATGACTTCTTAGATCCTCTTAAATAAACCCGTTAACTCAGGAAATACATAAAACATTTGCATCCACATTTACTGGATCCTCATTTCAGTATGCTCTTCAAACAATCAATACTTTTTACTTCAATTGCCATTTGGTCCAGTATATGTTTTCTTTCAGCTGAGTATTTACAACAGTCCAAAATAATGTGATTCACAGTTTCTATAGCTCCTCTCTCAACCTGGAAACAGTTCCCACCTGCCTGGAGATCGCCACCATCATCCCAGTCCCAAAGAGCTCTGCAGTTCTAAAGTGAATTCAGGGGCTGGTTTGAAGCACGTCAAGAAACTGCTATTTATACACTATCAATCAATCAATCAACCTTTATTTATACAGGTAAATCCCATTGAGCCTCGAGGACTCATTTACAAGAGAGACCTGATTTCAACAAAGAAAGATGACAACAATGGACAACAGCAACAATAAACAGTCATAAAAACTCATACTACAGTTTTTGTTTTGTTTTGTTTTTTTAACAAATAGGATGGCTAAAAGGAAAAGGTAACAAAACAAAAAAACAGCTAGATTCCAAGACAAATGTAGAAAACTAAAAACAGGAACATGTCAGCATTGGACCCTGCCAGGTGTCCAACAGATTCTTAAAGACACTTAGAGAGGTCAAGGTCGAGAGCTTCAAATCTTTTTGTAAGATATTCCAGGAAACTAGATCCTGTTGTCAGGCCTCGGACTCATGAAGTCTTTCTGATGAAAGACCAAACATTTGTCCTAAAACCAAACTGTCCAAATGATCTGATTTAACCTTTTTTGTGCGTATTAGGATGCTTCATGCGCCTGCTGCACTCAGTGGAAAGTTTCAGAGTCTGAGCTTTTTTATTTGTCAAATGCACCACAAGTGGCACATGTGGTGTAACGAAATTGTAGTATGAAACTGAAAGTATGGCTGCAAGGCAAAATTCTTAGCTAGCAATTTCCTGTTTGTAGTCCTTTACTTGGGCTGAATGAGTCCTCCTCTGTCCCTTACGTTCTGATTTCACTCAGTATTTCATGGACTCCTTAGTTCAGGATTTTCCACCAGCAATTAGAGACAATAAAACATTTTTACAAAGTTGGCAGTTTCCTGTGCACCTTCTTACATTTTTATCTGTATATTCACAAAAATGTGATGATATAGACAACAGATGTAATGCAGATGTTTAAGAGCTGACTCTGATTTTATATAAAAATTGTGCTAACACACAGCAGAAGCCCTCACACCACTTTTAACAACACTTGCATCATTCCAGACCACTTGCAGAGAGAGTAGCCAAGCAAAAAGGACACTCTAATAGAATCAAGCAGTTGTTTAAGTGTGTGCATGTTTGACTTGTCATACACAAACACACACAGAAAGTGGGATGCAGACTGTCAGGCTCCAACATGCCAGATCTTTCTGATAGCTGAAAACTAGAAGACATGGAGAAGAAAAGATTAAGATGCATTGGAGGCCTGTGTGGATCTCCTTTGGACAGGAAGATTATGTTGCATGGAGGAGTGATGTTTGTGTGCACAGAGGCGTGATGTTTGTGTGCACAGAGGAGTGATGTTTGTGTGCACAGAGGAGTGATGTTTGTGTGCAGGGAGGAGTGATGTTTGTGTGCACACAAGAGTGATGTTTGTGTGCATGGATGAGTGATGTTTGTGTGCATGGAGCAGTGATGTTTGTGTGCACACAAGAGTGATGTTTGTGTGCACACATGAGTGATGTTTGTGTGCACAGAGGAGTGATGTTTGTGTGCATGGAGGAGTGATGTTTGTGTGCACACAGGAGTGATGTTTGTGTGCATGGAGCAGTGATGTTTGTGTGCATGGAGGAGTGATGTTTGTGTGCATGGAGGAGTGATGTTTGTGTGCACATAGGAGTGACGTTTGTGTGCATGGAGGAGTGATGTTTGTGTGCACACAGGA